GAATGATAGTGAAACCCACCTGAGCCTTCCAAAGCAAATAGCAGACACCTTGTCTGAGTTCCAGAAGTCTAAAACAAGTCTGACCAAGCCATCCAAGGCAGGAAGTCATTTAACTGCTAAAACGGCTACCCACTTCCTGAGCAAGGTGGGGGAATCCAGGATGCAATGAGAGAAGTCTCACGTCTTTTCACTGTTGTAAGTTCTTTGGGCTTTTTCCCTGACCAGGACTGTGGGGAAGCCACAAGAATAGAAAGTTATTCACAAAGACTGGCTGAAGCCAATATTAGATGTTCACTCTCAGGCAGGAGGATCTATTAGTATCTGTGTAAAGGGGGCCTGAGCTGGCATTGCAAAATTGCATACAGCATTTGGTCTGGCAAGGGACGTGATGTTCTTTACTATTTGAGTAAGGGAAGAGACCCCTTAGTGTTGGGGCACTGTCAACGTATGAGATATGATGTCTGTCATAGTAGGCGGAGCTCTAAAAAGCTTGACTTACATTTCCTTAGAGCGTGTTGAAGAACAGACAGGCTGAAAACAAAACTCTCTCTCTCTCTCTCTCTCCCATATATATATATATCTCAGTTGTTTCATTTATAAAGTCTCTGCAGTTCCTAGTTTGAAGCAAGGGAAGGCAAAGCAAATATCCGGCTAGAAAAGTGTACTTGAAAGCTAGAAGGCTGGGGTAAATAAAAAATGTTAGAAAATGGTGCTTTGAAAATTTCAAAGACAAATGTAAAGGAATAGACAGATGCTTTTTAAAAACATTTACATTTATTTTTATATATTTAGGAGGCACAAGGGCAGGTTTCTTACACGCATGTGTTGTGTGGAATAGTGAACACTGCACCCAACAGGGAAGTTTTTAGCCCTCACCTTGCTCCCACGCTCCCACATTTTGTAGTCTTCGAGGCCTATTATTCTACACTGCGTGTCCATGTGTACCCAGATAGATGCTTTTTGCTTTTTCTCTGCTCTTTCTTCACTTGTTTCAATGTTCAACCACTCAAGCAGTGACAGTAAGAGCTGACAGTAAGAGAGACTGTTTCAAGGCATAAGTCGGCCGTTTAATAGTGGTTTCACCATCATTCTCAGCAAACTGACACGAGAGCAGAAAATCAAACACCACATGTTCTCACTCATAGGCAGGTGTTGAACAATGAGAACATATGGACACAGGGAGGGCAGCACTACACACTGGGGTCTGTTGGGGGGAAATAGGGGAGGGACAGCAGGGGGTGGGGAGTTGGGAGAGATAGCATGGGGAGAAACGACAGATATAGGTGATGGGGAGGAAGGCAGCAAATCACACTGCCACGTGTGTACCTAGGCAACAATCTTGCATGTTCTTCACATGTACCCCAAAACCTAAAATGCAATAAAAAAAATAGTGGTTTCAACCCTGGCCTTTTTTGGGCACCTGCTTTCTCATCTGTAACATGGAGATTATAATAAGAGAATTTACCTTGTATTTACCTTTTAATCAAATGGATTATAAAGATAATCCGTGTGAAGTAGGTAGCATAGTGAGCTACACACAAGTCTCCAAATAAGTTAGCTATCATTCTTATTAGTCTCCTCAGAAAAATTACAAAGTGCAAAACTGTATTGCAAAATTTTAAAACTGAAGCTTCGCTGGCAATGAGGATTTTATAAACAGGCCCAGGAGAGTCAGAATGTTCCTTTCAGGCATAGTCAGGCATCAGCACGTATTGATTCAGCACCAGAACATGCCAGTAGTGTTCTGGACGTTATACAAATGAGGAAAGTAAACACAATGTCCAAGTCACGTGGTGTCACTTCCTACAAATACAGAGGCGCACGTCAAGGGGTGTTTTGTGAATGAGTGGTGCATGCAAACCCTGTTGGTGTGACCTTCATAGGTTCTTATATAAGAAAATAAATAATTTGACCTCATTTTTAGGAAACAGATGTACATTGATTTTATACAACCTCAAAGGATGCAAAATGGGTTGCAAAGAGAGAAAGAATGTTACAGAATGAATGACAGGAACATTTTCATATAAGAGGAACTGCTATCTCTGCCTGGAACAATTTTTGCCCAGGTATTCACTTGGATGGCTTTTTGTCGGTTAGGCCTTGACTCAAATGTCACTACCTCATAGGGACCTTCCCTAGGCAGCCAGTCTAAAATAAACCTATCCTCATGTCCTTCTAATGCCCTAGGCTTCTTTTATTTATTTTTAGCACTTATTCTGCTCTGAAATTACTTTATTCACATATTTATGGAATTGTTTACTGTCCAGCTTTCCCCACAACAATACACACAAGTCACATGTGCCTTGTTTGTCACCTTATCCCAGAGCCTGGCTCACAGTGGGCACTTGATAAATAGCTGAATGAGGAAACAATTGGGTAACTGGGGCTCACTGGCTATTTTTTTAATATAGTTTGCCTTTTTTTGTGGTGATTTGGTTACTAAATCTCAATTCATCAGATCATTCTGGCTTCTCGCTACTGCACAAGAGACATCAGGTCATTGGAAACTTACAGATGAGTCCCTTAACTGTACCATCTTCAGAAACAAACACACTTGTATGGCTGTATGAATTTGCTAGGGCTGCCATTTAAATACCACAAACTAGGTGGCTTAAACAACAGAAATTTCTTGTCTCACAGTTCTGGAGGCTAGGAGTCCAAGGTCATGGTGTTGGCAGGGCTCCTTCTGAGGGCTGCAAAACATCATTCTATGCCTCTCTCCTCTTTAGATGGTTTTCTGGTAATCTTTGGTGTTTCATGACTTGTGGAAGCATCGCTCCATCTCTGCCCTGAGTTTTTACATGGTGGTCTCCCTGTGTGCACGTCTGTCACCAAATTTCCCCTTTTTATAAGGTCACAGTCATACTGTATTCCGGCTCATTCTAAAGACCTCATTTAATTTAATTCTATTAAGACTGTATCTCCAAATAATGTCACATTCTGTGGTACTGGGGGTTAAGACAAACATATAAATTTCAGGGAGACAAAATTGAACCCCTAACAATACTGAACATCCAGGATGGAAAAACATGGTATTAGGTTGAGCCACACATAATTGCTTATGTTTTTGTTTTTTCCCACCAGGACAAGAAACCCCCAGTGTAGGAAAATTGGAGATATGAAAAACAGGACTTAAGTAAACACACAGATCTATGTCAGAACCATGCTTGTCACACAGTGTGGAAGCAACAAGTATTTGGTGAATGAATGAATGTAAACTTGTTCTTTTAAATGACTTGCTCCCTAATCTCTTCCAAGTCTTGGTTCAGATATTAACTACTAGACTAATTACTATTCTTTGAGACGGAGTTTCGCTCTTGTTACCCAGGCTGGAGTGCAATGGCGCGATCTCGGCTCACCGCAACCTCCGCCTCCCGGGTTCAGGCAATTCTCCTGCCTCAGCCTCCTGAGTAGCTGGGACTACAGGCACGCGCCACCATGCCCAGCTAATTTTTTGTAGTTTTAGTAGAGACGGGGTATCACCATGTTGACCAGGATGGTCTTGATCTCTTGACCTTGTGATCCACCCGCCTCGGCCTCCCAAAGTGCTGGGATTACAGGCTTGAGCCACCGCGCCCGGCCAAATTACTATTCTTAAAACCACCATCTCCCCAGTACTCATCTCCTTTTCTCTTACTTTTTTTCCCCTCTCTGTAACACTGACCACCTTCGACCAAACTCTGTAATTCACTTACTTGTCATGTTAATTGCCCATCTCTCCCTACTAGAAGGTAAGTTCCATGAACTCAGGAGCTTTTACTGTTGTGTTTCCTTCTGTATGTACCAGCACTTGTTACAGTGCCTGACACAGAGTAGGCCCTCAGTTTTTTTGAGTGAATGAATGAATGAATGAATACTATTGAGAAAGAGCTCTGGAATCTTCTGGCGTGTTATTTCAGGTTTTGCTTGGATCTCCCCTTGACAGTCATAGAATTTCAATGCTAGTCTTTCAGGAAAATCTCAAAGATCAAGCCCCTATCTCCAAAGCTTGAATTCTGTCTTAAATCGGTGACATCTTGATAACAAATTGCCTTTGAATGTAGAACCCCATTTTAATAATAAGAGAGTAAGAGATTGAAACTGTTTAACAAGTAAAATGTGCCATGCTATATGTAGTATGGGGAACAGAAGCAGAAGGCCTGCCATAGGTTAGTTCAAGGGGTAGATTCAGAGAAGGGCAAATATACTTTGGAGTGTAGCGGAAGCAGAATGGCACATAACTATAGGTCAATGCAGAGTAAAAGGTCCAGATGATAAGCCAAGCCAATGAGAGTGAACAGCGTAGTGGTACAGAGCAACACTTTCCAACTTTATGCATGTACCAGCCACTTGGGGATCTTGTTAAAATGAAGATTCTGCTTCTGGGTGGGCCTGAAAATCTGCAGTTCTAACGTGTTTTAAGGGGACGGCTCTACGGATCCATGCTTTGAAAACTAAAGAGCATGGATATAGTAATTACCTGCACAATCTTCAGTAAACGATTTAACTTCTCTGTGCTTCAGTTTTCTCATCTATAAAATGGAGATCAGATGAAGTAATCCCAGTAAAATGAATACCATTAAGTGTCACTGATGATCAGTTACTTTCACTTGCGGAAGAGTGGAGGGCATGGCTGGGGGTGGGGTGGGAGGAGGGAGTCAGAGAAGTCTTAGTTGTATTTTTATACATTTTAAAATAAGAAATGTATTCAGGTATTGACATGTGGACCGAGTTTTCTCCTCTCTCATACAAGCGCATTACACGCAAAGCCAGATTAGTTCATGAATGTGCTACAGCACAGGGTGGCTGGGAAATCCTGCTTGCAAACTGCTTTGGGTCCTGCGTGGGGAACGGTTTTGACTGGGAGCCGAACTCTGAATTCCTCTCCCTTATGCTGAGCTCAAAGCGACTCTCAGGTATTCAGGAAGAATACCTTTTGCTCATCACCTGCGGAGTGGTGGCCACAGCGAGGCGCTCGGGAGAGGCGCCAGGAGGCCGGCAGTGGGGGCGTGCCGGCAGAGCAGGGGTGCGGGGCGGGAGAGGGCCGGCCCACGTGGACCGCGGGGCCAGGCAGGGGCAGGAGCAGCCGACCGGCCCTGCCAATCAGCGCGGCCCGCGGCGGGCCCGGCCCCTCCTGGCCAGCGCGCTAGCTGGGCTTGGCTCTGCTCTGCTAGCAGCGCGCAGCCCTGGACGTGGCGCGCCCACTGCGCGCGCGGCTGCTGTCGAACGTCGGGAGTCCAGCATCAGCCGCCTCTTCGCAGTCAGTGCTTCTTCCGCGGCACCTTCGGGCTTCTCTTGGGAGAGGCGTGGGAACTTTCCTTCTGGCGAGGCTGCGGAGGTGATGGGCCGCTCCGGGCGGGGCCCGCGGGAAGGCGGCAAGGTGAGCGTCCTTGGGCTCCGGCGGGGCGATCCGTGCCTAGTTGCGGACGCGCGGGTCCGACCTGGCTGCCGGCTCTAGACCAGTAAGAAGGGTTGGACGGGATAAGGAGGGGCGAGAGGATGGGATGGGGGTGGATTTGGACCCTGTATTTAGGTGCTGTCTTGTGGGCTGGTGTCGACTTTGCTCTGTGCGGCTCCGCTCGTCCCGGCTCTGTGGGGCGCTGGGACGGCTGCCTGTGCTGAGCTCGGCTTGCAACCCGAAGTTGGAAGCTGCGCTCCGAAGTACGGACGTGTGGCTGGAGAGGGGCAGCGGCCGCTTCTAGTTTTGGGGTTTGTGTCTGACAGAACCCCCGGGCTTGCTCTGCGGGTGCGGAGGAGGCCACTCGACGAATTGGTACGAGGAGGGGGGTGGTGAACGCGCCTTGAGCTCTTTTCTGGACCAGCCAACCTTAGCGCTTCATCTCTTTAATCTGAGCTAGGATCCTTTTAAGAGCCAGCAGGTGGGAACAGGTCAGCGTTCCCCACCCCGTCCCCCACGAAGCTCCGGTTGCGAGGACCTTGCTGGAAGGGCTCCATGAACGCTCGGGACGCCTTTTTCAGCTGGGAGCGCAAAGCTTCCCGCCCAAAGGGAGAACTGGAGCGGGTCTGGAAGTTGAGTCTCTTTCCGCGCGAGGCATCTAAGATTTGCCCACCAAAGGGGCATCTCTACCTTTCTTTGGCTCCTTTCCCCTCTTTGCCCTGTCAATCTGCTCCCAGAAGAGAGGGCATCTTCGACCCTAAGGAAGGAGCTCGGGGGAGAATTTGAACTGGAAAGCTTGATCTCCTACACCTGGGGAAGCTGCTCAAGCTAGATACAGGGCCGCTGGTGCGCTTTCTTCTTGAATCAGCATCATTGAACGTTTAGCGGCTCCACGGCGCCTTAGTCAAGCTATGAATCAGCTGCTAAGCAGTATGTACATGCACGGGTTCACGGACTCGCCGAGACCTAGCCTGGTGCCCATCCCCCCCTTTGGTGAAACGTGTTTATTCCTGAACTCTTTCCGCTTTTAACTTTTCGATGGTCTTCCCTCTGAGACAAGCAAGGTTGATGCGATGTGACAGGCGATCTCCGTGTGTGAGGATGGGTGAGTTCGAAGCCTTTCTCTAGTATCCTTGGCATAAAGCTTGTCCACCACAACCCGGAGCTGCCACCTGCAGACTCAGACACCCAAACTTGTACACACTGATGGCCTCGCTTTCTAATCACATACATGTTAATTTGGCCCCCTCTAGAACACTCGCTAAGGAGGGAAGAGGTGGGGCAGTTTCTTTGTGTCTGAGTCCAGTTCAGGAAGGGCTTGGATTTTTTTTTTTTAAGGCTAAAATAATTTAGGAACAGCCATTTTGCAATACAATTAGTGTTTCCAATCAATCACTGAGAACAAATATATGACTTGAAGAATTCTTCAATAGCCCGCTGTGGGTTTTACAGTGAGAAGAATTTCTGCTAAGTTTATAGTCATATATCAGTGTGAAAGCCCAACACTTCCTTTAGATTGGAAATACAGGCCTTAATCAGGTAGTGTGAGAGCAGTTTTCAGAATCATTATGACTAATGATGACTTATGTCCTCCTAAAATGACCGAGTGAGTTGGCATGGCTCATTTGTGCAAAAAGCTTTCTTCATATGTATGGACATTTCTTGATCAATATTCTCATAGCAGAAAGCCATATTTCAAGGTTTCCTTCTTAAGTTCTTCTGTCTCATTGTTCTGCTTTGCATGACTCTGCTTTCTTCCCTCAGTACCATCTTAACTGCCATTTGGCACTTCAAAATTTATGAAAGCCTTCAAGTCACAATTTGACTTGGCCAGTTTTCCCTGCTAAAGATAAGAAAGTTGCCCTCTCCAGAAAAGCAGTGGCTGCCAATTGATCTATCTTTGAATGACTTTAATTGCATTGCTTGTTCCCTTAGCACACACACAAAAATCCCTACAAATATCTCTGCTTGATTATTGGGTATTTTTCACTGAAGGCAAACTTTTTTATATCTCCAGTTCCAGAATGTTCTGGGTCACTTGAATTTCAATATTCATTTTCTGATCTTTTAAGATATGTATATTGTTTGATGGCCTAGTTCTATTTAGTAATTAAAGAAATAGAAACTCCTTTGCTACCTGCTGCCACCTCCTTTTCAGTGGCAGGTAGCCTTTTCCTAGTAGCTGCTCTTATCTGCACACTCATTTATTGTTACACTTAATATAATACTTTGCTATGTAAATGGTGTGTTGATGCATATGATATTAAAACTGCATTCACTGGGGATTAACCCTTGGATATGACATCATCACCAGCCAATCCTTGATCTGATTTGAACATGCATTGACAAAAGTCGCATTATCACATGGAGCAAGGGATTCTATATTGCCTGTGATGAATGAGGAGGGAAGGAAGGAAGTCTTTTTGGCACTTTCTAACCCTCAATTAGCTGCCCAGTTGGAGAGTTTTGGGTATTTCTATACTAAGAGGCTTAGCTTAATAATAAAATTCTCAGATTGTAGTTTTATAGATCTCTTTAAAATTTGCATAAGTAGATATCCCCCCTTATGCTTTCTTCCTCTTTGGGAGTTTTTCCACCCTGTATTCTGGCTCTGATTCTTTACAAATATGTAAAGACATCATAGTAAATGGACTAATCTTTTGCTTTTTTTTTTTTTTTTTTTGTCCTAGAGATAGCCCTGTAGGTGATGGGCTAATTTGAGTACGTGTGTTCGTTTCATCAGGTGTTGGCTGTACATCAGCCAGGATTAGCAAGATGACTTTAAGTCCCAAAGCCAATCAATCATAAATGGTTGGGAGGCCATAGAGTGTATTTATCCTAATTTGTCAAGATTCACGATCAAGGATTGGGGACTGAGGCAACAGGAAACAAGATTCAGGATTGAGGCAATAGGAGACAAAGATGTCCACAAAGGGATTGGTGGAGTGATCTTGGCCACACTGATCATTTCATAATTATTTGTTTTGAAAATGTTATTTTAAAAAGCCACGTCAGAACCTAGACAGCCCTGACTTAGAGCCTTTAGCTGTAGTGTGGCATTGCACTTCGTAATGCCCCACTCAGTTTGTGATCTCCTGTAACACAACTCTCATAAGATAAAATTGACCTTGACTTCCTATTTGATATCTGCTGAAAAAATAAGAGAAATTCTTCCTGTTTTACAGTCATTATTCAGGTTCAATTCATTTTCCTCCAGTCAGTCAAAAGGTCTCTCTAAAAAACAAACCATAAACTTAATTGTGCAATCTGATTTAAGGAAATGCTCAAAGAATTTTAAATCTAGAAATTACCTTCAATTTCAGCTTTCTAGAAGATCAGGGGTAGCAGGTGTTGTCATACCTTGGATCTAGTATGTTATTAAAAAACCTGGGATTTGAATCTGTGAGTCCTCATTCCTAGCCCAGTGCCCTTTCCGATGAAGACAGGGAGAGAATGATTCCTGTGATGTGGTGGACCCCTCCCCTTGGCTGTCTCTGCAGAGGAGGGACACATGGGCCTCTCACACCATCAGTTTGCTAGACTACCGTGCTAGTTGAGCCCAGCTCAAGGACTGGACAGCTGTATGCACCAGCGAGCTTGGGTTAGTTCCTAGTGCTGCCACGGTATCCGGAGTTATAAAGAAAAGGCTTAAAGGGAAGCTGGTGATGGGAGAGGATTGGGTAGGGTGACTCAGTTTGAACCTAACTGAGCACATGGAATGACATGGATGTTAAAATGATGGTCAGGAAGTTTAAGGTAATGATTTATGGTTTACTTGTGAAAGAACTCAGAATATTAATCTATTAAGTGTCAGGCTGCCCCTTCACACTTAGTGCCTTTTAGTTGCTATAAAAGCCAATCCTAGCCGATAATTTGGAATAACATTATTTTCTGGCATTGTTGTGAATAATGGCAATGGTACCCTACATTTATTGAACACTTAGTATGTACCAGCTGTAGAGTCTTGATGTTACAGAAGCTTTCTGATTACTAGATGGCTTTCTCTACATGGATGAACTACTGATTTTCAGAATTATGAATCTAAAGCAACATTGAATCTTTTTTAGTTGTTTTTAATTTAAAGCTGTCAGGATCTTACAGTAGCAAATCATTAACACGAACATAAATGATTTTAATTCAGAAGTATGGTAGCATCAAATATTAGGGAGTTGTTAATGACAAATAAGACACTATTTAGAAAGATAATAAAGACATGGGTAATTTGTTTCCTTTTATGAGATTGTGGTATTGTTAGTCCAGAAGGGTAAAATATCCTTATTGGAAAAATATGAAGATATCGTTGTATTTGTTTCTTTTTTTTGAGATGGGGTCTCGGTCTGTTACCCAGGCTGGAGTGCAGTGCTATGATCATAGCTCACTGCAAACTTGACCTCCTGGGCTAAAGCAATCCTTCTGCCTCAGCCTCCTGAGTAGCTAAAACTACAGGGTGTGCCACCATGCCCAGCTAATTATTTATTTTTTGTAGAGACAGAGTCTCAGCAATTTCCCCAGGCTGGTATTGAACTCCTGGGCTCCAGCAACCCTCCTGCCTCAGCCTTTCAAAGTGTTGACATTACAGGCATGAGCCTCTGTGCCTGGCTATCCTTGTATTTCTTATGAAGTAAAGAGAAAACACTAAGGTTTTTTGTTGTTGTTTATTTGTTTTTAATATGGCAGTACACACAAACTACTCTGTTGGCTTTGCTAGTGCCAAAAGTTCATTTTAAACTAGAAAGTAATAGAACATTCTACAGTATTTCAGTTACCTTAATAAAAGGTGGAACTGCCAAAAGCTAGACTTATTCTTTTTTTTAATGACCACCGTGTCTGCTTGGATTCTTTTAGTTTCACGTATGTGCCATGTGTTCTAAAGTTTTCTCTGAAAATTAATAGTTTTATTTTTTGATTTTCTTCATTTCCAGTTCGTCTTTTTCTTTAATAAGTTATGAAAATATTGATGAGTCTTCAGTACACCGTAGTTA